GGTGCAGTGTGAATGGGTTCTGAAAGAGGAATGGCTTCTCAGTCTGTAAATGTGCGGAATTAATCATGAAGGAGCACTGGGATAAGTTCCTAAGCCAGCAGAGCACTTTGAATACGTCATATTGTTGCTGCTGCTGACAGGTTAAAGACTTCACTATCTAATTCAAAGCAAATATCTGGTTTTATGGATATCTCTTGTCTCTACGTCCCACCCTCTTCCAATGGCATGAACTGGGAAGGCTCTGGCCAGTCACCTGGATAAGTCTGCACGCCTGGAATCACAAGTGAAACAGCTAATACAGATGGCAAACCAGCAGCAAAGTAAATTAGACCTGCAGCCCCTGTTTGACACAATTGAAACGGTGAAACAGAAGATTGCCCTGATGGAGACATACGACCAGCGCTTGGGTATGTTGGCACTTCCCTGCACAGGTAGGGGGGTTGCTGATTTACTGGTGGCTAAGTAGAGGCTCTGGTGCTACACTCAGGCAGTTGGAGCTCTTCACTAGAAAGGGCTTTCTTCTTGCATTCTGAGACCAAACTCTGATGGTGTGCGCAGTGTTCTCCCACCTTTCCCTACTGCACAGTATCTCCTGAACTCCAGTGACACTGCAGGGCCACAGAGACAGAGCTGGCCTTGGTTTGGCTCCTGCACTGTGATGGAGGCCATGGTGCTATTCAGGCATTCACGATTTATAGTTGACAGCTGTTCTTATTCAACTACCAGCTGCAATTACAGTTTTAAAAAGTTAACAGCTGTAGTTCATAGCCTGTACTCAGGCTCGGGTAGATCAGTTTTGCCAGCTTGAGTTTGGGAGTCTGGGTGCTTGTTTTATCCAGGGCTCTGACAGTTTTATTTTACCAAATGTCTCTCTCTTTTTCTTTTTTTTTTTTTTTTCCTATTTCTTTTTATTTCCCTCTTCTCTCAGTTGTTTTGGAAGATCAGTCCAGCAAACATGATCTCCAGATCAATATACACAAAGCACAGCTCAATAAAAACGAAGAACGATTTAAGCTTTTGGAAGGCACGTGCTACAATGGGAAATTAATCTGGAAAATCACGGACTACAAGAAGAAGAAAAGAGAGGCAGTGGAAGGCCGTGTGCTGTCCATAGCCAGCCAGCCCTTCTACACCAGCCGCTGTGGGTACAGGTTGTGTGCCAGGGCCTACCTGAACGGGGACGGCTCGGGAAAGGGAACGCACATCTCCCTCTACTTCGTGGTCATGAGGGGCGAGTTTGACTCGCTGCTGCTGTGGCCTTTCAAGCAGAAGGTTACGCTTATGCTTTTGGACCAAAGTGGGAAAAAAAATCACATTGTGGAAGTCTTTAGAGCTGACCCCAACAGCAGCAGTTTCAAAAGGCCGGATGGAGAAATGAATATCGCCTCCGGCTGTCCGCGCTTCGTGCCGCACACCGTCCTGGAGAACACAAAGAACACCTACATCAGAGATGACACACTCTTTTTGAAAGTGGTCGTGGATCTAACTGATCTGGAGGAATTGTGAAAAGCGTGTCCTGTAAACGTGATTGCTGTAAGCATGAAGAACTGCTTTTGTGGTGAGCACCAGCCATGCAATAGCAAATTGCCACCAGTTAAGCTACTGAGAATGTTTCTTGGCTTTGGACTACAGGACAGATAATGAATTGCCAAAGCATCAGCCTTTCTTTTCTACCCTTTTTTCCAAGACTGCATTTTTAAGGCAGCTAGAAGTCCAGGTTGGTGCAAACATGCATTCAATCCAGATTGGTTCAGTCCAGGCTGGGGGGAATGCTTGGCTCCCATCACCAGACTGGTATTTGGAGATTAACCTCCTCCAGTAAATTCCCAGGAGCCCAGGCAGGCCTGTGGGCTCCTCTCCCTCACACAGAAGTGAAGCCATGCCCAAACACACAAGTGCATTTCATCTATCTGCAATGGAAACATTTCAACATTAGCAAATTTGAATCAATGTGTCTTGATCCCTCCATCTCCTAGATTTTTGAAGCAGGAAGGATGGCTTCAGTTAGGCAGGGAAAACATTTGCCAAGTATCTTGCATCTTTTTTATTTAATTGTGTTTTTCCAGAAAGCCCAGAGGAAGGAGCCAATGCCTCTTACCTTTTTAGCCTGTTTTTTCAGCTGCGCAGAGTACCCCAGGTCACAACAGCTTTCTTGTGTCCCTTCCACTCCTGCCTAGTGCCTTGGGACTGGTTTCCATTGGTGGTAAACATCCACAGTCCCCATCTGAAGCCAAAAGCTGCAGGTGCTTCTCACCTCTCAGGACATGGCCAGAGGCAGGGCACTCAGCCAGCTGCCAGCTCCTGGCTGCACTGCTGGAAGAGGGGCAAAATTCCCGTTCTTTTGCATCCACATCTGTGCAAAAGAGATATTTTCTGGCCTTACCAGCTCTACAAAAGGCAGGAAGAGCTTGGGGAATAGCTCACTTATATAACATGCACTTTTCCTCTCTCCTAGAAGTTTGGGGAAGAAGGGGGAAAATAGATTAGGGAGTGAGGTTGCTGTAAGAACCCAATTTTGACAATCAGTGCAGCTTTAGTGTTTGTTAAAGGATGACACAGCTACTGACTGTGATGTCTGAAGATCTTAATTTTTATTTCAAGTTCCTTCCATATTGCAAAGGAATGTGTGCATTGTACAGGGTTTATTGGAGACACACTAAAACCACCAAGGTCAGGCACTGAGGAACAAATGACACAGAACACATGTGCCTTTTTAAAGCCCTTTGGGTGCCTGTAAGAGGGATGTAATTTTGCATGCTCAGTGATTTTGTTATTACAAGTGGAAGAATTTTGCATCTCTCATCTCTTACACGTCAGGTAGGGAAACACCACAGCATTATCCATTGCTCCACGGCTTATCAAGAGACAGCAAGAAACTAAGTTGGTTTTACAGTAAGAGTAAACTAGGCAGGATAAAAATCAAAACAGGGCACAGACTGAAAGGCGTAAGATAGAAAATTCAGGAGGGCAAATGAAAAATGTTCTTCCTGTGAGGGATGTTGATAACAATCTAAATAATTCAAGGATTAATACCAAGATGAAGGCAAAATACTTTATTTTTTATCTGCAATCTTATTGCTAGACATTCACTTTCTCAGATGGTTTTCAGACAATAATTCAGACACATGTATTTTCTAACTCAGGGGTGGAGGGAAAGAGACCTTAGTAATCTGTACCTCATGGTGGGTTAGCACATGCAAAATCTTTGTTTTGATCTAGAAGTCCTTTTTGTTTTATAATGTCAAGATGTACTGAGCCACCACAGGGGCTTTCCATGTTCCCGGGACAGATTGTGAGGAACAAATTTTTTTCTTGTGTACGAGCACCATTGACCACAAGAGTCATTTCAGCTGTAAAACAGAAATGGATGAATTAGGCGAACACTTGGTTACAGAAAGAGCAGGCTTGTTTTGACAGTGGTGTGCCATTCTGTGACATCAACCCTGAGCCTGGATTTCATGTCGTTTATTACTTTAATATTTGTCATGTAACCCTCAAAGTGACACAACTTCCATAATAACCACTGATAACTGATGGGAATGTACCCTCCGTGTGTCCTGGGGCTCTCCAGTACACAGAGTGCTAAATACAGAAAGTGATAAAGAACTCAGACAAACAGGGGAGGCAAGATAAAAAGGATGTGTCTGGTCTGTATCCTGGCAAATTCCCAGCTCTCTCTGCCTCCACCACCCCAAATGTAAAATGGGGATAATAATACTTGCAGAAGCATTAGGGCTATTTAAATGTTTATGAAGAAGTTTGAGCATGAAAAGAGCTAAGTATTATTAAAACTCCATTTCCAATTGTTAGAATAGATGATGGCATAGTGATGTGGATAAGTGTTTAGTGTTTTCCTAGACAGATTTTGGAAGCATGTTTGGTTTTAGGCAGTTCCTACTGCAGTCTCTCCTCTACCTACTGGTTGGGTTTAGGTTTTTGCCATGAATATTCCTTTTAAAATTCTGAAGCACAAATTCATCCTGGGTGATGGAAACATCCCTTTTGAAATACTGCCTGTTTTATAAAGAATTAGTTGAGAAATTTTTTTTTTAAGACAACCTTCTTTAAATTTGTTCCTTTTAGTACAGAAATTAAGAGACTTATGTTAAAATTTTCAGTGATTTTTTTACTGCTTGTAAACAGGGTTTTAAACTTCATCCCATTCCTAATAAAGAAAAAATGTTGAATAGCATGAACTGTCAGGAAGAATTTTGATGTTGCATGAAGAATACCAAAAAACTTTTCAATAATATTGTACTGGGTAAGTAACCAAAAGAGCATAGGGTATTTCTACATCAGTGCACCATATGTTTCTAATGTATTTATTGATAGTTTGTAGTTGTTTGAATATCTCTTACTACAACAGAGGCATTTTTCTAGCCGAATGTCTTTACTGTGTATATAAACTAATGTAAGAATAAATAATTTTATCATCCTTGTGGAGGGTGGCCTATATTCCTTTTGGCTGGACTGAAGCAAACTTTTAAGGATGTGGAGTACTGGGCATTTGCTTACACTAATTAAAAAAAAAAAAAAACCCCAACAAAAACAAACCAACACTGCTTAAGATTAGGAATCAATGTGCTTCATGGTATTTAGGTTTGCACTTAGATATGTTCAGATATGAACTGAGATATGAACTAAGCTAGATGAGATTAATATCCTCGCGGTCTGAGGATGCACTGCGATGACAATTTGTGGTTGGGCCGGCTTTGGGCTCAGCAGGGCTTGGATTTGTTTCGGTCGGAGCAGGAGCAGGAGCTGTTCCAGTATCCCACGACTAGGGCGTGCTTGGGAACGCGGTGCCGTGCAGAGCCGGCAGGGCCAAGCCCGGCGTGCCGCCAGGCGCTGCGGGGGCCGCGTTCGCCGGTGCCCGCGGCTGCCGTGAGGGAGGGAGGGCAGGAAGCGGCGGCGGGCGGCCCCAGCCCTTCCGGGTCGCGGGCGGCGCCGGCCGAGGGGCGGCGGAGCCGGGGCGGCCGCGGCCGCAGCGCGGGTGGGTCGGGAGCCCTGGGCGGCCGGGGAAGGGTGGGCCGGGACGGAGCGCGGGGCCCTCCGGCCGCTGGGGGCCCAGGGCGGGATCCGTGATGCAGCGACAGCCCGACACGTAGGTGTGGGTGAAACCCCCCTGGCGTCTGCGCCGGCGACACCCGATCGTGGGTCTGGCCTCCGGTTCCTGGTGCAAGGGGATGAGCCTGAACGTGCTTTCCCCCGCAGTAAGGCGCAGTGTCATGGGAGGGGAATGTGCTCCTGTGCCGTGTGCCCCGGGATGACCCTGCTGGAGCGGGGAGGTGGGGCTGGGTGACCCCTCTGTGGTCCCTTCCAACCTGTCCCACCCTGTGCTTCATGGCGCTGCCCTCAGGCGTGCTGGCTCGATTCCTCTGTTCCTGAACTTCCCCCCCACCGCCACAGTCTTTTGGAAATTATGTTATTGAATGTCCTTTTGCCTCTGACTAGATATGGATAACAGGAAGGATGAAAAAAGCAGGACGCTGTGTGCAACCTCAGAAGAAGGGCTGAAGGCCCGAGGTGGGTGCTGTGATCTATTGCTGTTCTCTGGTGTTTATGTGGTTTTGTTTGTGTGTCGCCCTTTGGGTCATTTACCGGTTTGCTTGCTTGCTGATGCCAGTAGACCATGGCACACTGGAAGAGCGGGAAAAAACACAACCAACCTCTCAGAACAGGGGTTTATTGTGTTTAAATTCTACTAAGAGTCATTTCTGTAGGCCACAGTTACTAGTTGCCTTGTGTTGCCCTAAGGAAAGGAAAAAAGGAAGCGAAAGCGCAGCAGAAGCAGATCCTCATCTGTTTCGTCCACATCGTCTTCTAGCAGTACATCCACTTCTTCCTCCTCATCACGCTCATCATCAAGATCATCTTCTTCCAGTAGTAGTAGAGGTAAGCTGTCTCCACATGCACATGATGTTTTCCAGTTTTGACAGCACTCCTGAGAGCATTTAAAGCTTGTTTTAGAAGAGGTGAAACCACCACAAAGTGACAGTGCAGAATACCAGTGCTGCTTATTCAGGGTGTTTCTCTCATAATCCTTTCCTGTTGTGTGTAGAGGTGCCACTGCACACACAGTTTGCAATGTACTTAGGTTAATTTGAATTCCTTCTAAAGAGAAACTGCCATTCAGATAAATGTTACTTGGTAACAATATGCTGTATATATTTAAGCCCCTCAATTTGTTGCATTTTCAAAACACCGATGTTTTTTACTTCACCAGTCTATCTAGACCAGAGCTGTGGGTTTGATTTAGCCCTGCTTTGGTCTTAACATTTCAAGCATTTAACTTTGAGGACTCAGGTGAAGCTGGCACATCTGCAGAATCAGTAAATCAGGTATTTTCAGTTTCCATGTTAGTCCAGTAAGTGGCAGTAACCCAATGTGTTCTCTTTCTCAGGATTAGTTCAACCTGTGTCTATATATATATATATATATATATATATATGAACTATAGCACTCTCTTTGTATGTTTCACATTTCTCTGTCTTATCTGTAAAACTAATGCCTTTTTCAGAATGCTAAACTTACAGGGTTTGATTTTGTTGTTTATTTCTTCCTTAATTTTAGATTCTCCTAAGTCTAAATCAAAGAAAAAGAAAAAAGAAAAACATAACAAAAAGGTAAAAGTTTACAAAGATAAATAAGTAGTTAACAAACAAAACAGTTCTTTATATTTCAATAACCTTAAATGTCATGTAAGACAATGCTTTTTTCTGTGGCTTTGTACATCTAAATTATACTTTAAGGGTTGTGAACTGATAAATGGGCACTTGACTTTATCCAAAAGAGAAAACATTTACAAGGTACTTTTGCCAATCATTACTGGTCCAGCTGGAGTTTAGAGTAGTCTCTGAAGAAAAGAGAAGTGGGGAATCTTGATAACTTTATAGAATTTGCCAGAAGAAATTATTTATAGTTGGTGAGAGAAGTGAATGGTAAATACTTGCTGTTGTAATTTTTCTGTTCCATGTTCAGTGATTTATAGTGCAGTTACTTTAAAAGAGAGAGAATGGGGAATCAGACCTTTTCTGTTGCTCAGAGCCCCAAGGTTTGCTAACTCTGGTGTGTTAATTTCTGCTACTTGTCCAGTAGTGGTAAGGGCAAGCAGACGTGGCTGTCTTGACTTGAGTGACCTTGAAAGATCTTGTGGGTTTGGGATTTTTGCCCTTGTTAGTCTGTAAGCATAAGAGTGTATGTCTTATTCTTGTAGAAAAGGAAAAAGGAGAACAAAATGAAGAAAAAGAAGGAAAAGAAGAAAAGGAAAGAGAAAACAGGACCTGTCCAGCTTTCCAAGGTATGCTGGTCTGAGTGTGAAGCCCTGTTTTCTTTCTCACCTACATACTTAATCCATCCTGTCATAAAAATGTTTATAGGATCACCAGTTTGGTCGTCAACCAGTAGAAACCTCTCTCTGTTATTGTGGACAGTAAGGAAGTATAAAAGATTATTGTCTGTAATTTTACATAAGATTTGTAATGGTACTGATGAAAGCTTATGTCTTTTTAACATGTGATCTCATTTCAGTTCTTCAAAAACAAAAAGAAGAATGAAAACTACAGCATGATAACCGGAAAGAAAATTAAGATGAAAATAAAGAAGACTAAGGAAGATATAGAGGTAAGAGTTAATTAATCTAAATGTTCCTAAGAAAAAATGCTGTATCTTTTAATATTTTTCTAATAGTAGTTTTTGTAGAAGACTAGGTCTTGCAGTTAAGAGTTGTAAACTGAGTGTAGCTTTTACTGTGGCTGTGATGCCCTCTGAAAAATACTAATTCATTCTTTTGGCAGGTTTTATATTATGAAGGGGCTTGTAATACTCAGTCATGAGCAGATAAACCAAAGGATGCTTGTGTAGGTTCTTAGAATTTCAGCCTATAATCATTAGCCAGTTTGTAGCTTTCTCTTACACTGGTGTTAATTGTACTCATCTTCTTTCAGTCTCTTGTGATCTGTTGTGATAATTGCTACTTCACTGTGCTTTTCTAACACATGCAAGACTAGCCTTGATTTAGAGAAGAATTTTTAAAAACCCAGGTGTATTATTAGGACCACATGCTCCTGCATTTTCTCAGAGCAGTCAAATGTTTTTGCTGAGATACCCTGGGAAATAAATACCATGAATAATAGTGTGTGCTATAGGTATGGATGTTTGGACTCAGCACTTAAATAATACTGTCACTCTTCAACACCCTAGGATGACCTGCAGAGGGCTCTGGTACTGGTCAGGAAGTGTTACTTCCTTGAGGTATCCAGCTTGGCAGATTCAAGTTCAGCCCTAGTAGTTCATTCTACAGCTGGCAAAGCAGTCTGAGCATTCTTGAGTTAAATTTGACTGAAAACACATTATCTTCACTCTGTGACACCAAAGTGTGTGTTAAATTATGTTGAATGTTCACTACTTCTGTTCCAGTAGCCTGCTTGTTACAATATGTGATGTCAAATACTTGATGTTGGTCCTTTTTTTGATTGAGGCCTGTGGTCTTACTGAATTGAACAACATCCATCAATATTTAAATATCCAATAATTTTTTATAAAAAACTCTGGAATTGACGGTTGGGCCATCTCTTTTGTGAAGAGAGAACCCAAGTTCGGGGTTCTGTTATGCTGCATAAGCTACGCTATATGCACAGGGGGGAAAAAAGACACTCCCCAAAGCTAAGGACTTGCTGTGAATACAGTGAAAGTTGCCTCAGCCACCAGAGAGGAGCATCTGTTGTGCTTGTGAGTTCTCTCCTGGGCAGGTTGTGAGCTGCAGGATCACAGCCCAGTGGAGCCTCCTTAGGGAGCCACTTAGGAAATGTCTCCTGGAATAGTGAGACATTTGTCTCCCCAGAAGCCATGCCTGGCACTTCCCCTGGGCACCCAGGCCGGCCTCACTGGTCACTGGTTAGACCCAGCTCTGTCAATGGCACTTGCTTTGGGATGTGGAAACCCCACAGAAAATAGGGATCTGTGGCTTTGCTCCTGAGTACAGGTCTGTTCAACCACTGCTTCTGCTTGTCTGCTCTACAGAGAGACCGGAACCGTGCCCAGCTACTGGAATTTCTGAACTCTGCCTTGTAATGGGAAGAGTCCTCACCAGGGACAGGTAGATGTACCAAGCCAACCGTCATCCTAGCAGAACACTAAAGAGAAACTCAGGGAAAAGGACACCATGTTGGACAAGACCAGACCCTCCTACTGAGAAGAAAATTGGCATGTCCTTTTTTTAATGGCAAAACACAGAGTAGCTAATAACTTGTTAATGGAGATCCATGTCCTCCTTTTGAGATCCTAAGGTAATAGCCAGGCTGTGGTGTTTTAGAAAAGCCCAAGTGTATGTTGTTCACAATGATAAGAAATGACACACTGAAGTCCAGCAATGTAATTTCTATCTTAACTGCATGCAGAATGCACTCTTAATTTCAAATGTCTTAATTTTTCTAGTAGTTTAAGCAGAGTATTTGTAAATGTTTATTTTAAAGATGAGATGTTTCTTTTATGTATTTTTTTCTGGTAGTGGTTATGCATATCATAAAGAGCAAACTGACCTTTGTAAATAGAGCATCCTTTTACATAAATGATTTTTTTTTTGAAAGTTCATTCACTAATATATTGTTTTCTTTCAGAACTCAAGATGTGGTATTTCTCTGGACAGTTTATTGTTCTCTCTCCTTAGAAAGTGTAACAGCAAAATACTCTAGAGCAATAATGGTAGCAAATTATTTTTATCCTAAAATAGAAGCAGGAAAGGTCTCTGGTTTTGTTTGTTTATCTGATCAGTTGTTCAGTTCATAATAGATAGTTTACCCCCCACATCTGGAGTTGCAGTCCCTGGACTGAAAGCTCTGGAGTTGTGGCCTGCTTTTCTGATCCTGTGAGCCGTGTATCAAATCTTTATCTTTGAAGTCCAGCAAGGCACATACTATCGACATACCTTAGTCTGATGGAGGCAGGCAGTGACAGTGACTTCACGGGTCTGCTGACAGTCCCCTGTGAGATGAGACAGGGCTGGACAGGCTGCAGGAGCCCAGCACAGCTTGTGGGTGTGCCAGCTGTGGTAATTTGCTCAGTGCCTGCACTCTTCCTTCCACATCCACTTGACTCTTGGTTACCCAGCAGGCCCCTCTGTAATAACCCTGCTGTGGGAGTTCACTTGAATCACTCGTGAAGCTGGTGCTCCTCAGGAGCTACAGTTTAGAAATGCCTGAAGGAAGGACTCAAGGGGAGTTCACTTTGACAAAAACATTAAGTGTACAGCAGTGAGAGTGGGGGGAGTTCATTAAAGAGCAAATGGAAAACTGTGTCCGTGTCTGCTACAGTGTTTTGAAGTAAACCTGAAGATTTGTACCATTGCTCAAGGGATAATTTTATTACTGTTTTAATGTGTGAAACCTTCTGAAGATGCTAGAATCCTCTCCTTTCCTTAGTTTTCTTTTGTTGTGAAGCATTGGTACTGTTGCAGAGATGTAACTCTTTAGACACTAAAGCCCTGATCCAGCAGAGAAACTCCATACATTCTTATGAACATAAAACTTACAAAAACGTAGGTAAGAAATGGAGTTTCCTTGACTTTTAATCCAACAATCAGAAGGATTTTTTGAAAGCACTGTACTGAAATGTCACTGGGGGGAAAAATCCAACCAAACGAGAAAACCCCTTTTATTTATCATGGGGATTATGCTTTGATTTATGCTACTTTGGTATTTTCTAGCTAGTGATGTCAAAGCATCTTGCCCAGATAAGCAGCTTTTGTCTCTGGACTTTGCATAACAGGCTTAATCACAAACACACTCCTAGAAGACAGCATCCTTCCCATTCCCTAGGTTATATTCTGTGTAAAGATAGTGTAATTTTGGAAGACTTGGTGTGGGGTAGGGAGTAGAAATTCGGAAGATGGAAAGAAAATAGCAACGGGAAACCCAGAGATCACAGTTGTAAACAACTGCATTGGTTGGAATGTTCATACTTAGTTTAAATAATTTGCTTTTTGTTTCAAGATCATGAAATCTCCTGCCCTGTTGTGCATTAGCAGGGAAAAGGCAAAGGGCCTTTAGTAATATGATGTGGACTCTTCTTCCTTTCGGGTTTTGGTAGTTGTCTCTCATGGTACAAAAATGAGTCAAACTATTTCTTCTTAAAAAACAAACCCTTTTTTTTGGTGTGTGTTCAGGACAGAGACCTTTATTTTCTCTTTATTTTTCTTGACATGCTGGGTATGCTTTGGTGATGCTTTAAAATATTTGTGTGGCAGCATTTACTTCTAAGCTATTATTTCTTCCACAAAGCCGAGCTGCTTAAACTTTTTGGCAGTGATTCTGCCCAGTCAGTTACAAGTGCTCTCTGAAACTTCCCAGCAGGTGCTGCTTTTGTAAGCCTCCTTTTCTGTTCTACCCATCTCCGTTTGGGTTCTCAGGTTTCTGAAGAGGCTTGAGTCATGTTGCATCCTTCCCTTCTCCATCTTTGCTGACAAGCGCTGAGACCCTGTGCATCTTCTTGGGACTGAGTATCTTTGAGGCTGCTGTTGGGAAACGGCCAACAGATTGCAGTCCTCCCTAGTGAGCACAGGCCCTTACATCCAGAATAATTTTCCATGCCTTGCACCCTCAGGGAAGAAGTTCATTTCACTGACCCTTTCACTAAAGCTTGGCTTCTTAATACT